TCTGCTTTCTGGCAGGACCACAGCTCTGTGGAGTGGAAACACTGCCAGATCTGCGCTGCAGATTGCAGTGGTTGGATCTTAAACAAGTTGCTGTTGGGAAAAATGCACTGTGTCAGATGTGACAGCCCAAGAGAGGCTGCTGCGGCTCCCTGTCCTCAGCCTCAACCAGTAGCCAGGCTGTGCTCGTATTCCCATCAGGCACCCACGCACAAACATGTATACACCACATATATACACAGACGGCCACGCAGGTAACATGGCCAGCTACTCAGAGCATTCACAGGAATGAAGCGCACAGTTCCTCACCTATGCCCCTCTGGGCGTGTGGAGATCGGCCTTTGGTGGGCTGATGGGCCTGAGAGCAGACCAGCAGGGTCAGTTTGGGCTCCTCCTCCTGTGGCCCTTTGTGGGTGTGCACATGAGCTTTTAGTATGTAATCTCCTCAATCAGTATAGTTAAATTCAGGAACTTTATATACATATATGCATATATATATATATATATATCTCCTAAATAAAATTTCTTTCTTTTAAAGATTTGGGGTTCCTTTGGTCATTTATCTTGTTTCTTGTAAGTTCTTTGGTCATCTAGAAACCAGGCAATTGAGTCATACGTTCCTGTTGTAAGGTCACATAAAATGTGGCCACACAACTTCCACCAGTCTATTCTTCAGCATAGAGAGATGAGGGATGGGAAGAAAAACATGTCATTGCTTTTAGTCCAGCACAGATTTGCTGAAGGGCTCCTTAAAGACTTGGAAAGCAAAGGCACAAGGAGCTGGACTGCTTTATGTGTAGAGAGTTTGAGTTTGTTTTGTATTCTGCAAGGGATACAGTGGAAAACCACATCATATGTAGGTTAATGAGCGAGGAGTGCACTTACATGGGGCAAATGTAGTACAGGAGAAGAGGTCAGTGCCAAGGAATCGGGTAGGACGGAACAGGGGACATGGGTGGCAGCTTGCTGTGCAGAGAGGGGTGCTTTGCAGAGGGGTGATGGCTGGCACATGTGCTATGAGAGCATGAGATTTGTGTCTGGTGGTGGTGTGTCCAGCTCAGCTTGGACCAGCTTATCTAACACCGATATTTCCCTGGGGGCCGTGAAGGAGCAAAGTGCACCAGAGGGAAAGGGAACAGGGCCTTGGACTTTGGTACCAACTGCAAAACACTGGGGGCCATCAGCTCTGAGCAGCGCTTGTGGCTGGCAAACACCCGGATCTGCTCAGCATCTGACGGGGGCACAGTCACCCACCTGCCCATGGGTGCCAAAACCAGGCAGGCAGCGATGCCATCTTCTGGGCACTGGCAGCCACAGCCCCCTCGGCTCCCCAGGCTGGAGCACATGGGGACACTGTACCCACCCTGACATCTGTGAGATCGTGTTGTGGGAGGTTTCACACTGAGCCTAATTCTTCTTCATGTATTAATGAAACATTTACCAGAGGGAATGTCTTTCCGCAGAGATACTCGCCACCTGAGTGACCACCAGCCTGCATAGCCCAGCCTAAGTTTTGAAGCTAGCCCTGTTTTGAGATGAGGGGGTGGCCAACGTGGGATGGGCAATGCGACCTCCAGCAATCCCTTCTCGCTGAAATGATCCTTCAGTTTTCTAGACATGCTCCTAAGAACGGGTGGATATCACTCACCTAGGGATGGCCAGGAGCTCTTGGGAATGAACGGCAAATCTGTGCGTCAGGATGCCCCAGCCGGGCCCCTGCCTGTGAAACCCCAGAAGTGGGTTTTTTTTGGTTTTTTTTTTTTTGGGGGGGGGGCTGTTACTAAGAGCTGACAAGACTTCAGATTTCACATTTGCCCTGTCGGAGGCAGCCAAAAGGGCCGAATTAGGGAGGGGGATAACGATGGTGGCGCCCCTGGAGAAGCCTGGAGGCTGAGCCCTCAGAGGCTGAGTCAGGGGCCGTGCGCTGAGCGGGACACAGCAAACCGCCGCCCTGCCCCGGCGCCGTCACTCAGC